CACCGTGCGATGCATATTGAGTTCTCTCTGGAAGTAGTACTTCATCCCTTCTGGACAGCCGAGGAAGTCGAGAGCGAAGCCAAAGAACCCGAGTTTCCTCAGCTACTCCGTGTCAGTACGATCTCATCATCAAGATAGCGCAATCGTACCTCGTCTCTACTGAGGGGCGGCGGCGGCACATCACCGCGTGGACGATACCAGACGTTGATACGCAGCTTCCTGCCGACGCCTTCACTGGAGTCGTTGAGCCACCTGTTGAGCTCGCGATAGTCTTCCTCGCACTGGCAAACGAATGTCTACCAAAGACAAGAAAATGGGTGTCAAACTCGGTCCAGATGGCAAGGATAGGTTCAAAGCATACCTTCAACTGGTTCCAGTTTATGCACGCTTCAATAGCGTCAACGTGGTCCATATTGGTGACCTGGGCGCTGAGAAACGCAGGCTCGAATACCTCCATCCTAAACTTGGCCCTATTTTCGCGAAGCCAGGACACGGCCACGGCAGTATCCAGATCCGCCCGGCGCAGGTTCTCGAGCCTCTGGTGCTCAATACTGTCGAGCCGGCTCAACCTAGACCATGGTCAGCATATTCCCGTACTATTGTCAATTAGTACTCACTCGTGCATCTTACCGTCCCTGGTGCCCGTAAGCCTTCCAATATCGTCGTTGACAGCAGAGATATCGTGCTGCAGGTTGCCGTGGAGGGTCTGTAGCTCGGCAATTTCGCGCATCACGCGCTGACGGTCGTGGTCAATCGTCACCTCGTCTTCGATCTGCGGCGGGTTACGGATGCGCTCCTCGAGCTCGCGGATCTGCTGCTTGTAGTTTTCGATGCGCTGCTTGCGCTGCTTCTCAGCCTTCTTGAGCGTGTCCATCTTGCCGTGCGTCTCCTGTGCCTCGGCCTCGAGCTTCTCCGCATCACTCCATTTGCGCCCCATTGCCTTGAAAGCGTCCATCATCGCACCACGCACGGCGTCGCGCTCGCTCGTCGAGCCTTTCACGACGTTCTCGAGCGTCCTCCTCAAATCTTGGAGCGGCTCATTCTTCTTGTTCAATTTCTGCAATTTGACCTTGAGTTTGTCGCGAAGGCGAGCTGCCTCGCGCTGCTGGCGACGAGCTTCCCAGAGCTGACACGCTGGAAGCAGGATGTTGAGGATTGCGATCTGTAAGTGATCAGCCGTGCACATCCACAACAACAGGCCACCCGCACCTTGCGCTCAATCTCGCGCCGCTCTTTGTACTTGGCCACCTCGCGTTCCAAGCGGGCATTCTTGTTCTGCTTGTCCTCGATGGCAGACTGGTCAACCTTGAGCGATTCGTCGACCTCGCGGAGGTTTTTGGCCCCGTCAATAAGGGTCTGGTGCCACTTGGTAAGATTCGGGTCGCCTGCGGCCTTTTGGGTCTCTTTGAGAAGCTGTTGGGGCGACATTGATGCGAAGCTAGAAACCTTGTCCTGAGGCAGGAACGTGCAAAGGTTGTCAACTTGCACGTTTAGCAGCTGAACGCGGGTCTGGACATCCTTCTGTGTCGTCTCCTGACCATTGAGCTTCCAGATAGACTTGTTGTCTGCTGCGTTGAGATGGCGGCGAATGACCAGATTGGGCTTGCCGAGTACGCCCTTGAGCTCGATCTCGATGAAGCCCTCCTCGCAGCCGTTCTTGACGAACGCCTTGAGCTCAGACGCGCGCCCAAGGATTGACGGTGGCCAGCCGAGCCCGATGCATAGTGCGCATGCGATCGATGATTTCCCCGTCCCGTTTGGGCCGATGATCATGTTGAGGTACGGCCCTGGGCAGAACTCAACATAGTCGTAGGTGACAAAGTTCTTGAGTAGAACGCGGACAATCGAACCTGGCACATAGCTGAAGGAGAAACAGCGTTAATGGGGCGTTCAGTAAGATTTAGTTTGGTCACGCACCCATCTGCAGCGCGTGGCAGAGTGGTAGGCCGTGGACGAGCAGGAGCATCTTGTTCTTCCTCCTGCTCCTCTCCTTCCTCGTCCTCATCTTCGTCCTCGTCACGTGCACCTCCAATAGGCGCAGTCTCGATAGCTTCGCTGACCCGGACACGCTTGCGCGTACGACGCGGGATCTCGTCTTCGTCGCTATCGTCGCTGCCGTCACGTACGTTTTGGCGCTGTGTCTGAGTCGCATGGCGTGTCTGCGTAGCCAGCTTCTCTTGCTTGACCCTTCGCACGTCCATGCTCATGTTGGGCACCGGATTTCGGCGATGCGGCGGGGTGTGGCGCAAAAACAGGAGTGAAGAACGACTTCAAGCGCCGCCAACGCGTGCCGCTGAATGCCTCCGAATAGTGAAATTGAGTCAGCGTTTACGCTCAGCCTCCGACTCTCATAGTTCGTGACAAACCATTTGATAAGCCTCGAACACCTGCTCTCAACAGCTTGCGACATCGTTATGTTTACGTAACAAGAGTGTGGTGCAATAAAGAGGTCACAACAATGCTCGAAAGATCTTCTCATATTTCCTGATTTTACCTCGCTGATCGGAGACGGCATCTCTTCGTTGCCCAGCGACAATCATTATAACCCAGATTGAGAAGGAGGAAGCCACGGACGAGGTAGAGGAGTACTATTATCTCAACGGGGACCCAAACACCGGCTAGTATCATCATAAGTACCATGACATAGCACTGACCTCCCGTCGCGACGTCGCGCACCGCGTTCGAGACACATCGTGATGTCGGTTTCTTGCACTGATTATAGGGAGAATGACGAGCATGACCCACGTGGTCCTGAAATTAGTAGCACAGTGGCTATTGAAAATAAAGTGGTGTCCACCAAGATACACCGAGCAGTGCAAGGCTCAGTACGAGGAACTTTACTATGTATTTCGAATGCGACGAGCGTTATGCATATGTAGTGTCGTGTCATTGAAGCATTCCCAAGGAACGTATCAGCGGCTACTGGAGAAAGACGATAGCAACAAAGCTCATGCTTGAACTGGTGCCACAGACCCCCTCTAATAGCACACCTTCCTGACATAGTGACGCACATTTGAACAAAATATAAGATTATACTAGAGTCTAGCTCTGAGAATCTCATGAAACTGCTCCCAATTTCTAAGCTTTTGTTCAACATTGTCGCGCGCTACCTCTCAGTTCGATTGACGAGGACTCCAAACGCTCAGATTCTGTACGTGAGGGGCCCAATTGCACCAGTCAAACTGAGTTGCAGAGCGAGGGGTCGACATCCCCAGCTGGACGTGCAACGTTTGCACCGACGGAAATGAGGCTTTGCCGAGCGAGACATCCGCTGATCCATAGCCCCCGCGCGCCGTAGTCCCGAGTTCGGTCAGCTGCAGGGAGTCAACGACGCGCCAGAGGGCGGAATCATTGAATACGTCAGCCATAACTTCCGAGGAGAACCTCAGGCTGCGAACGCGCGGCGTGTTCATATCGGTTGCAACGACTTGAACGTACAGAGAGGAGGTTTTAAATTCTACCTCTGGCTCGACTGATACTATGAGCTTCCGTGTCTGAATGTCGCGCAGAATTTCCAGCCCACGACGTGGAACAGCAGAACCGCCCTCGTGATGTGTCGCGTCGACGTAGGAAAGATGAATCTCGCGCAAGGAAAGGTCGCAGAGTAAGGTCCACTCCGCGTCAAATATGTTGTCGTCGAATTTCAGCGGGATGTCCAACAAGTGAAGAACCTGTAGGCGTCTTGCACCGCCGAGAACACGTGCGATAATGTCCTGCGGGGCCGCTGCGATTGGGCCGTCTCCAAATTCAAAAAAGAGTAGCGAAAGTCGCGCTTCAATCAAAGCGGGAAGCGCGATGAAGATGGTCCAAAACTCGTGTCTGTCTGGCACGCTCATCGTGATCGCGCGCAAGTTCGAGAACTGAGTCTTTTCGCCCTGCAGTTGCGCCAGAGGCATGTAATATGACGATGGTGGGTATGATGTAATAGTCTCGAGGTTCGGCGCATGAAAATTATCAGGCCAGTACGTGATGAAGTCGAGGCGTTCGTCATTCGACTCGATATCCAACAGCTTCTCGCGCCAGTCGTAGGTGTTTACACAGTGTAAAGAGCGAAGAGCACCAAATTCCTGGATGGTGGAACCGAAAAAGTCAGGAATTTTTTCAATCACGTCCGTGGAGAAATGCAGCGACTCGAGTCTGGCGTAGTGTTGTTCGAGAATGACTTTGAATTGATCCAAATCACGCACAAAACCTATCGCGGGGCGTATTTTCACGTCGATGAAGATGTGTAATGCACAATTGACGGAACGCCGAAGGAGATCTGGCATTGCGCGTATGTTCGAACGAACACCGTTATACCGTACACGCCCTGGCTGGTCTCTCGTGAACAAACAAATTCGAAAATGAACGTTGGCCCAAATAGATGGGATGGAAAGAATGAGTTTCCGCCAGGTGGCAGAAACAAGAGCCACACGGATGCGATCGTCGGTCTGCAACGACGTCCAGACTGTGATCCAGAGCTCGAAAGGGAGGCGGAATCGCTCTGTCCGACTGGGGCAGGTGGCCATAGAAGGGTACTACGGGAGTTGAAATAGTCAGTCTCACCGGCCCGAAGTGCGGAGGGAGAGGAAGAAAAGCGACAGCGGCTGAGTCCGACGAGCGTCGTTGGAATTCGGATCTGTTGTGGTCATTCTTTATTTTTCACTATATGCATGATTATATATACGCGATTAAACTGTCTATCGAGCTAAATACCCGCGCAATTGTCAGACGAAATACACCACTTCGAATGCGCAACATGCAGTTCTGGGAATAGTAACCGGCGCAAGTTCGCTCTATGGAAATGTCTGTCAATCCGCGCGGGAGCGGAAAGGGCTATAATTGAGCCCCAGCGGTTGGCGAGAGCGCACCAACAGCTCAGGGCCACATCCTCTTTCACAACATACTAGACGCGGTATTACACAACACCGATAGAAGACCAATCCCTTTATTAGTTGGACCTGATGAACGCAGAGTTACTGTTTTGATCATCGCTCCAGTCCATGAACTACAAAACGAGATGTCCCCGGCGTGAGTCGAACACGCGTTACAACGGACTTGTGTGTAACCACAACGTTGCGATCTAACCACTAATCTACGGAGACGCTAACTCAGCGAGTGGCTAGCATCTAGAGATTTGTTTGCAGCCGGTTAGACGCGCTAAGGCTGAGCGTGAAGCGTGTCACCCGGTCAAATTCCTGCTTTCCCTTCCGCCACGAGGATGTCGAGCGCGCTGTCACCAGAGCAGAGCGCTGCGCTCGAGCAACTAATGCAAATAACGAATGGTGCCGATCCGGAGCACGAGCGCGCGGTGCTGGAGAGTGTGTCGTGGGATGTCGGTGTGAGTTTGTGTGCTGCCTGTGCCGCATGTGGCTGCTGCTGACTCGAGTCACCGCACCAGCGAGCCGCCAGCATCATCTTCGACAGCCAGCCTGGCCCGTCGTCTCGGTCGGCGAGCCGCGCGCGGAATCACGTCGAGCAGATGGAGCTCGACGACTCGCACCAAGGCCACCCTACAATCCCTGTCGTGAGTACTTTCGCTTGCCTGGACCAAAACTAGAGACTTTCACGCAAAGTGCTTGATTACTGCACTATGTAGCCCTCAAGCGAACTACTCAAAAGAGCTAGTTTGCGACGAGGAGGACTGCACACTGTCGTGTCTACATAATTTCTGTGTTGCAACTCAATTTCGGTCCAGCGCTTGCATCTTCATCCTAAGCGAACTCTACTCACGCATTTCAGGGAAGCGCATCCAGTGGACATCAACGCGTCGGACTAGGGCTGACGGGTTACCTCGCACTTCCGTTCACTGTTACACTCGGGCTATTGGGCTTCCTGCTGCGCCTTCTCCGTATCCCGTTCCCGCGACTACACTTCCCCTTTACATTCCCCTTCCTACGCCTTACCCGAGCCCCGAGCCCGCCGCGGCTAACAAATGAGACGGCCGAGCAGCAGACGGACCGGTTCGTGCGCGAGTTGGAGGAGGAGACCGGTGCGCTCGCTATCTCGCGTGCCGTCGCCAGTGAGCCCGGTACCAGCAAAGCCCGTGAAGCGGGTGCACTGGCTGGACGCCGCGTTCTTCCGGACTTCTTCATCGGTGGCTACGAGGATGCACTGCGTGCGGCCAAGCGCGACGCACGGGTGCTTTGCGTAATCCTCGTCAGCAGCGAGCACGATGACGTTCCAGCATTCAAGCGTGACGTTCTCACCGACCCGGAGTTTGTGACCACACTCAACGATAACGAGATCCTCGTCTGGGCCGGCGACGTGCGCAGCCCGGACGCATACCAAGCCGCGCTCAAGCTCTCCGTCACAACCTACCCGGCTGTGTCGTCATTGCGCTACACCCGCCACGTAGCGCCGGATCGCGCCCACAGACGCTCAGCTCCACCAGCACCTCTGGTGCATCGCTGCACATCTTCTCCTCGCACGCAGGCATCGGCGAGTGCAGCGCAGCACAACTGAGCACGCACATCCGCGGCGTACTTGTGCCCCGCGTAACACCGTTTCTCGCGCGCGTCAAGGGCGAGGAGCGCAGCCGCGCCGAGGAACGCCGACTACGTGCCGAGCAGGACGCCGCATACGCCGCGGCGAGCCAGCGCGACTATGAGCGCATCATGGCGCGGCGCGCGGAAGAGGCACGCAAGCAGCAGCTTGAGAATGAGCGTCTCGAGCGTGAGCGTGCTGCTGAGCGCCGCGAACTCAACGTCGCCCGCTGGCGCGCCGTGCGCCGTCCGCAGCTCGTCGCGGCCGCTGGAAAGTCTGAGGTGCGCCTGGCGGTGCGTCTACCGCATGGCCCCCGCGCAATGCAGAGCTTTGCGGGTGCGGCGCCTTTGACGGCGCTCTATGCGTTCGTCGACGAACAGCTACATCCTACTGCAAACCTTCGTAAGTGAGATTGATGAAAGATACATGCGTTCTGATGGTTTGCTACAGCTGAAGAGGCGCACACTGGCCAACCTGATGCGGGATTCGTGTACGAATGGCCATTCACGCTCGCCGTCACATACCCACGTGCTTTGATCCCCATCCCAAGCACATCCGGTACGTTCCTCCCACACCATGACCAGCCCGTCACTCATACCCTTTTTCTTCAGCCGCGACGACTATCGCTGAGGTTCCGGCGCTCAAAAGCGGCGCAGTTCTTGCCGCCGAGCTGCCGAGCTCCGGCGGGGCAGGCAGCGACCAAGAGGACGACGACGACGAGTAGATGGAGCAACGGACATCACACGTTTCGCACACAAGTCTCGGTAGCACCATAATACATTCGTACAGCGCAGTCGCCGCGCAACACGCGCCGTTTTGTAATCGTCCATCGTATGTTACATGTTTGAAGGCTTCGATGTTTTCTAAGTTTTGGCATGCTGAGCTCAAGTCGACTCTTCACCTCTATGACGAAATTTCAGCCGCCTGAATACGATAGCAAAGAATGGCTTGTAGAGCAGCGTGATCCAGTTCAATGCGATGAAGTCTCGCCGGCCCGCCATACGGAGGGCTTCGAGATGAGGATTCGCCAAGGGCCACTTGGTCGTTACTCGTGGTACCGCCCGCAAGTCCAAGTCATCTCGCGATACACTTGCCACGACATACGCGTACGATTCAGAGCTCTGAGGCTGCGGCGCCTCGAGTTGTCGCCGGCAGTGGCACCCATCCGTAAGTGGACTCAGTGCACTGCGATCGCGCGCTGACGGTGAAACGAAGATACGCAGTTTACCAGGCAATGAAGAGCAAATGAAAAGGTGAGGTAATCAGGCACAGGGATATTGAACATGGTCAAACGCGTTTTACGTTCGACGCTGCTCCGCCTGCCATTGCGGCCCCTCAATCTTCATTCCAAGCGAGCCCATCTGTGCGTAGAGTAATGCGGCATGGAATTCCAGGCTCGTGCGATGCATCCTGAATTCGATCACGAAGACGATCATTCAGTATGTGACCCAGTTCGATGCTGTCAAGCGGGAGGTATGTTAGATATGTTCGGTCCATTCGGGCGCGAAGGAATGAGACCAGCTCGTCCTCGGAAGGTTCTGCCAACTTCATAGCTTCTAGATAGATCTGACGCAGCTTAGGCCAAATTGGTGGAACATGGCGTTCCAACGCAGGAAAGAATTGTGAGAAGATTCTAACGACGTCGGGCTGGGTGGATTCCCCCATTCCCCACTTGACAATCGGTGGAGCCTCGAGGAACAGCTGCTCAACGGAAGAGAACCCGGACAGGATTTCGATCATACTTTGAGAAAGGAGACCGTAAAGGCACAGACGTCGCACAGTTGCGAACTGCGGGATGGGCGGAAGTTGATTCCCACACAGGCTGAAGCAATTCAGAGCTAGCTGGTGCAGCCGAGGAGCATGCAAATATGTTAAGATAACTGCCTCATCCAATACCAGCGATTTTAAGTGGGGAAGCTCCCAAGGTCCTGACGGCTCGTGCGAAGTAAAGTAGAAGTCGTCCAGTATACAGAGTGTGACGAGGCTAGAGCAGTTTGCCCAACAAGTACCTCACCAACAGCCTCATACGGACAGAGCGTAACCAGAGATGTGAGGTCAGGTAGCTGAGATCCAGCTTTGACGAAGTCTGGCTCTTCGCAACTCAAGCTCAACCGCGATAGGTTCGGTGCGTTCGGAAGGTTCGTGACGCATGAATCGAACCAAATTGACAGAGAAGCTAAGTGGGGAGCGTCACAGCTCATCGCGTGACTCATGCGGCTCGCAAGGCTCTCAGGTAGCCTCAACGTTGCGGTGCGGCACCGCGACCCGATAGCGTCGAGCGCATCAACAATCCGAAGGGGACACGATCCAATGTCAAGGTTTACCGTATGACTGTCAATGATGAAGACGACGTCGAGCGGCTGTTTATGGGACAGTTCCGTGATCAAACTGAGCCTACGCAACTGTGCTCGCAGGCCGCGAGATGCTGCATCGCTGGGAAAGCCGAAATACATCCAAAAGCGTGACGTAGTCCGAGTTAAATGCCGCCAGTGATGGCAAACCGCCGAGAGGGTGAAGGGTAGACTCGCTCGCTCCGGATTATATGTCGCATCTGGCCATCGCAATGGTTGTCCAAGTACAATAATATCAAAAATCAAAACAAGAACATCGTCTGTGATGGCCAACATCGTCCGATTGCGCGTTTTTTGAGCAGCCGGTGCGGATACGTGAAGATGAAAGAAAGATCGTATGAAAGCAGTGACGGTGTGCGACCAAGGGGAGATTGATACCGTTCCAAATTCCGTCTCACCTCCCTCGCTCCATTCCCGCGATCTTCTCTGTCTATCTTGAAACCTTCGCCGTCTCCGTCGATGAAGAAATGCTGCCAGTCCGACTTCTTAGGTCAACATACCCGATTGATTTTAGCTCGCAAGTTCAGGGAATCTCATGCTCTATAGGAAATATCAAGAACCTAATTGAATTTGAAACATGTCAACTGGATCAGACACCCTCCCTATTAGCTTACGTTACACGATGTTGGACGTAGGGCACCGGCTCAGTTCCCGGATGGGAAGTTAGCGATGGGTTAATCGCGGTTTTCGTTTCCAGGTCTGGTCATCGCGTGGATGTCCTGGGGCCGCTCCTTGGTACGACATATTACTAGGATTTTGAGCATTTTTGAAAAATGTTTTACTGTAAATCTGGTTATTGCAAGACAGCAGCACGAGACCTGCACAAGGTTGAAACATTGGTATACGCTGTCAACGCCACCATGTCACGCCCTTATCGATCACAACGGAAATAAAGTAACTCAACATCAAATAGCATATTCTGAGATACATTGTTGCTCTATCACAGGATAGTCATTCCGTACACAAGCGTAATCTGACGGCCAACCTCGTGGGTAGTCGTTGCTCTGACTTGCCTTCTCCGTTTGCGCAAACTATCCGTGATTTTTCCGCTACCATTCACTTACCGCGCCAGCAAAACAAAGAGCTCTGTCACATTAATATGCTTGCCGTTCCTGACGATCTTGCGCTCCTTATCTTCGAGGCCTTCGCTGTTGGCGAGCTGCTGCAATGGCCAAATGCATCGTACGATCCAGACCGGGCGTGCGCCGTTCACACTCGCAGCCGTTTGCCGACACTGGCGGCAGCTCGCCAGGAATACATCAAGCCTG